ATCTGAACTGGGATAAGCCTCCAGCATGTTCAACTTAGGTTTTTCATTCCTACCACCATGCCATGCCCATTCTTGTCTATGTGTACTGTAGGGCCACTCAGCACTTTACACTGAAGTATAACTGGCTATAGAGGAAATAGGTATCCTCCCTCCCCTCTTTCCCCACCCCAGCAAAGAGGCCTATTCACACCTACCAGGCTCACAGGGCAACAAGCACCATCTAGCTAGGGACCACTGTGGGTAGTATCAATTTCCTAACTCTAGATTATTTTCCATTTTTCCCCCTTCCACTCTTTACCCCACCATCATCTCCCATCCTAAGAACACAGATAAGACACATACTCTGTGCCCCTCATCTCCAGGTGAAGGTAGGGCAGTATGACACAGCCTCAGGCACTTGCCAGGCTGGCTTGCCTACTCCTGGATGAATGAGCTTTGGCCTTCATTTATGCCAGTTATATAACCGTTGGTCAGCCTATTCCCACAAAGCTCTTCTCTGACCTAGTTGCACCTCTCAATTTAATGATTTCATAGGTTACAAGAGGTGCCAATGCCAGGTTGCTATAGAAACCCTTGCTCTGCTGACCTTCCCCCCCTTCTCCTAATAAAAAAGTGAAATAACAGAAAAGTAAACCACTATTCAACAAGGAATTGAGTACATTTTAAGTACAATGTGGTCTTTCACACTAGGGAATGCTTGAAAAGCTTTCTACCTCAGAAAAAATTTCCATTTGTCTCCTGGGTTTCTTGTTCTTCTTTTGTATTTATACATTCCCAACCAAGTAAGCCAAGTGAGTTTTCTAAAAGGAGAAATAATGAAGTGGAAAGTATCCCTTAGTTGTGTATATATTATGCTAAAGGACCATCTTCACTGTCATGTCCAGACTACTGAAATGGAGTAGGCAAGGAAGTTGACAACACATAGTGGAAGAGAGCTGGAAGCGTCTGAACTAGGGCAAACCTGAGGTCTCAAGTTCATTTCCAGAGGCCTCTGTATTAATCAGATTTTCTACCTGCCACCTGTACATATAATGAGAATTTCCAGTTGTTATAATAGGTAAACCACTGGCATCCTCAGACTCAGCTTTTTGTATCCTGGACTACGTATTTCCCAAAGTTCCCCTCAAATAAAAATTAAAAAAAAATTCTTCAGAGCCACATACATTTTTCAATGAATGAAACGTGTATCAGAGAGAGACTTCTGCTATTTATGCTCCTCTACTGTAGACTGTGTAAATAGAAGTAATGTACTCAATGCCCCTCTTCTTTGATCCACCTCCCCATTTCCCACTGTAATTATTTGCTGCCCTTAATTGACAGATAGATCTATATTCTTCCTATATATTCTGGAGTGGCCACTGTGTCCAAGACTCAGCTTTTCTTCATTGCCAAGGAATGGAGAATTAAAATTTACACATAAATAATGCACCATTGTTATAATCTTGTAGTCTTCATGGATGAGGACAAGGAGGGCTGAGATAGGGACAGGAGTGATCATTTTAAGGCAGCTTTCATCCAGAGCTTGAATGGAGCAGAACTCAGAACTTACTTTTAAGGACCCCACATAGGGCTGAAGGGTATTTGTGTCACCTACTGGCCTAGCCAAGGCATTAACCAAAGGACAAAAAGGAAACTAGGAAAGTAAAAGTTAAGCCTTATACTGAATCACATGTTCCCTTGCTGGCATCTATGCCAATGGAGCACTGTTCAAAATTACTTAACAACTTAGAACTCTGAGGCTACTCTCTATCCAACTTCAAATGCCCTGATACTCAAGAATGTTTGAACTTGAGTTATTCTCAAGGTGGGGAGATTCCTCTGCATCCATTGCCTCAAAGCCTCCAGATTATATAAATCACAGCTGTCTATTCCAGTTATGACAACTGTTTTCTTGCCTTCCTACAGTCATTCTCTCCATTTCTGAGCAATGTAATCATTTACCAAAAATGTCCATCACACTGGGTGCCAGTGGCTCACACCTGTAATCCTGGCTACTCAGGAAACTGAGATCTGAGGATCATGATTTGACCTACCCCAAGCAGGAAAGTCTATGAGACTTTTTATCTCCAATGAACTACTAGAAAAGCTGGAAGTAGAGCTGTGGCTCAAGTGGTAGTGCTAGCCATGAGCAAAAGAAGCTCAGGGACATTGCCCATGCCCTGAGTTCAAGCCCCAGGACTGGCAAAAAAAAAAAAAGGTCCATCACACCAATCCACATTTGGATTCTTTTGGTCCAAGTCCTAAGGTGTTTTGTGAGCCCTACAGCAGACAAGTTAAAGGTATTGTATGCAGATATTGTATAAAGGTGGTTTTATGAAAATGTATGTATGACTAATGTAGTAATAGCTGTGATTTGTTAAAGCGCCCCCCCTGCCCCGCCCAGTAGAGGCACTGTGTTAAGTGATTTCTGACCCATTTAATTTAATGTCCCTAACAACTCTAATGCTGTAGATGAGGAAAGTGGGGTTCAACAAAAGTTAAATCAATGCCCAAAGTAACGCATGTAGTAATAAGAGTCTTATATCCCTTTTCTTTAATGTATTTACGTTAGGGAACAGGATACTGCACTAGGACTGTGCTATAACCATGTGGTTGGGGAAAGGGAAGTCTATTTCCTGCTGTCTGGATCTTGTTGTTTGCTTATGCAGGAACCAAGCCTATACATCCATTCCATATATAGCATTCTGCACCAGCCCAGTACAATCCCAACATCAAACCTGATAATGTGGGAAGGGGAGAGAATACAGGCAAGAATTCTTTGTATATGCCACAAAATTGAGAAAAATAAGGGAAGGGGTGGGTCAAAGTGGGATGTTGAGGGATGACACCGATCAAGATGCATTGCTTACATAAACTGCTTTGGTAAATGGCAAAAATCAATACATAACCTAAAATTAAGAAAAGTGAAGGAAGGGGTGGGTTGGGGGTAGGGTACATGAGAATGATGAAAGGGGTGACATTGAGCAAGATGCACTATATTTGTAAACTGCTCGGTTGAATGGCAACTCCTTTGCACAAGTATTTCAAGATAGTAAAATATTCAAAGAAAATAAGTTGAGGGAAAATGAAAACAAACAAAACCTGGTAATATGGTGCCCTGAAAGAATAGTATCCATTAATCAAGTGCAGATGATCATTAAGCTTTTGCCTACATTATATTACCTGGATCATCTCAACCCCCTTCTTGCCTGTTTCTGACTAGCAGTGGTGATAGAAGCAATAAGACGGATTACTTGAAGGTCATGGCATGACCTTCTTACCGTAACAGTGGATAGGTTCTATGTGGACAATGCACCAAAACTGTCTTCATAAACATTACGAAGTAATGTATATAAAAGTAAAATGTCACCAGTTGCCAGTGGCTCATGCTTGTAATCCTAGCAACTCAAGAGACTGAGATCTGAGGATTCAAGTTTGAAGCCAGCCCAGGCAGAAAAGTCTGTGAGACTCTTATTTCCAATGAATCACCAGAAGACCGGAAGTGGTGCTGTGGCTCAAAGTTGTAGAGCACTAGTGTTGAGGAAAAAAGCTCAAGGACAGAGCCGAGGCCCTGAGTTCAAGCCCCATGGCCTACAAAAGAAAAAAAAGGTATAATGACAATGGTAACAACTCAGTTCTCCATAGTCCTAATGTTTCACTCTGTCATTACAACATACCCACACTTTGGGGATTTTCAAGTTCTGACACTGAAGGAATCAAATCAGCATTAAACAAGCTAGTGCTTGCCCTCAACTCCTCATCCCTCTTCTCCCCCTATGCTGAAATCTTTGGCCCATTGCAACTAGAAAAAGCAGTATTTAGATAAAACTGTGGCTTAGTTTTGTGTGTGTGTGTGTGTGTAAGAGAGGGAGAGGGAGAGGAAGAGAGAGAGAGAGAGAGAGAGAGAGAGAGAGAGAGAGAGAAAGTCCTAGGGCTTGAACTCAGGGCTTGGGCACTATCCTTGAGCTTTTTTGCTCAACACTAGCTCTACTACTTGAGCCATAGTTCCACCTCCAGCTTTTTGGTGGTTAATTTTAGATCAAAGTCTCATGGACATTCGTGCTCAGGCTAGCTTCAATCAATGATCCTCAGATCTAAGCCTCCTAAATAGCTAGAATTACAGGTGTGAGCCACTGGCACTATAAGAGTCTTACCCTAACTGACCTAACTGTACACTTTTAAAAACAAATTGTCCTTCAAGTGTTTTGGCACATTCAAATGCAGATCTTTGAACTCTGAGGAGTGAGATATGCAGGCTAATTGAGAACATCTATGATCCACTAAACTGAAAACCATTCCATCTAAAAAGTTAAACAGTTAAAATCCAATTCCTAATTTCACTGAGGAGAAATATTTTTTTTTTGTCGGTCGTGGGGCTTGAACTCTGGGCCTGGGCGCTGTCCCTCAGCTCTTCAGCTCAAGGTGAGCGCTCTACCACTTGAGCTACAGCGCCACTTCCGGTTTTCTGGTGGTTTATTGGAGATAGGAGTCTCACGGTCTTTCCTGCCCGGGCTGGCTTTGAACCGCGCGATCCTCAGATCTCAGTCTCCTGAGTAGCTAGGATTACAGGCGTGAGCCACCAGCACCCGGCACTGAGGAGAAATACTTCTAACCAGACTGTATAGATAATATTTGCCTATAATAGATTGCACAGGGCTGGGATGTAGCTCAGTGGCAAAGCACTTGCCTAGCAAGTGCAACATCCTGGGTTTGATCCCAGTATTAAAAGAGAAAAGACAAAATAGCCTCCACATTTATCCGATTCATCTTTTCATTCTAGAGCAATAATTCTTTCAGCCTTATTCTACATTGTGCATACAATATTTGTCTGCAATAGATTGCAAAAAACTTGACACTTCCCTGATTTATCTTTTCATTATAGAACAATACTTTTTCAGTCTTACTTTTCATTACACACAGAAATGGATGATTTTACAAAATAAACCTAGCATCTGCTCACTTAAGTATTTTATGATGTTTAATTCAAACTGAAAACATGAACTTTGTGAAAAGAGATGATCTTAGCTTTATTCTGAAATTCTTTTAATATCCACTTGGACAAATATGAAGATGGTTCAAGAGCTGGGTTCAATGTAAAAAATACACATTTCTACTTCCGTTATTTCCCCTGGATGCATGGTAGACCACATCAATAAATAAAGCAATGACCATTTCAGTAATGTTCTCTTAGTTATAAACACGCACATAGAAAAAACAGATACAGTAGTGCAAAAAATAAAGTATTAAAACAAGGAAAAACTCTGAACATTTTACACAATGCTCTAAAAAACCTGAACCATTGGAATGAAACCTCAAGTCACTGAAGTACTATAACAACATTATTAGTGTCTTTTCATTTCAACCACACAGTCACTCGTCTATGAAAGAAAGAAAAAAAAACTAAAGCAAAATCACTTTAGGTTTTCAGACACTTTTATGTTAAACTTCCAATTGTTTTTTCCTGGGCTCTTAAATGCTTTTGCTGTTGATATGGTTGGCAGCATGTCAAGGAGTTATCTTTAAACAGAAAAATTTTAAACAGGACACATTCTTTTGATCTCTCTACTTGATTTCTGTGTGATCAATAGGTGGTAATGCTTCTATTTGGTAGTCCCTTTTGTTAAGATGTTATTGCAATTAGATATACTGATAAGACCTCCCATCTTCACACACTCCACTGTGGCTATTTTTTATGTCCATACATGAAGGCCAGGACTCGGCTAATACCATTCAGGCGATCCTTTAAGGACTTCATTGCTAGAAAAGGGAGTTGTGCTCGATTTTCCAAAGGAAGCACAGCTAACATCCACCAGCACCAGGATGGGCCATTTGGATTAATCTGTAATAGAGAAACACATTGGGTTCATCTTAATTCCATGCAAGCCATATCAATTTTCAGATATCCAAGTGCCCTAAACAAACACCCCAGGCTGAAGTGCTTCTATATGTAGAAAAGACTACTAGTTGCCTCCATTCTTATTTTCTGTTCTTTTAGCTAGATGTATATCCACTCCGTTGAAGGAAGGGAGAAGAATGCCTATCTCAGACTCCATGAGTTCATAAGACAAAAATTCTACCTATTAAGATGTAGAAAGAAGTGACATGTGTAGCTTCAATTTCTATTTTGGGAAAAGCATGTGCTCTCTGCCTTGCTTCTTTCTCCCTATTTCTCCTAGCTAGATTATAGATATGGTAGTGATTAGCCTTCCCCAAAGTAACATTCTAACTGGTAGAGCTTTGTGATAAAGGAGCCTAAATCCCTGAATATTCCCTTACAACAGAGCTGAACTATCCTTCTAGAACTGAGGTCTTCCATCTCATTTGAAGGAATTTACTCAAAGTCATTTTTGGTACTTGTTAAAAACAAGCAAACCAATGTTCTAACAAATCTACCATGCCCCTCCTAATCAGTGTAATTTTGTAAGCTGGAATATTTACTAGTCTTTTCTACTTCTGAGACTTGATTTAAGTTCCTTGGATGGACACATATAATACACAGGCCTTTGATTCCCATGATACCTTTATTTGGCTATGTCTCTTAGATCCCTTCATTTTCTTGCTCTACCTGAATATAATAGTCTGAATATACCATGTCACTACACACAGACATAGACATGGACACAGCTAAGAACAGTAACCCCATTTTGCAAAAATGCCAGTTAGAAAACACATTTACATTAAGCTAGGTTCAGTGGCTCACACCTGTAATCCTAGCTACTTGGGGGTTAGAGATCCAGGAGGACTGAGGCTAGAGGCCAGCTTGGATTAAAGAGTTCACAAAAGACCCCATCCCAATAGAATCTGTGTCTCATAGCACCCCAGATACCTGGGAAATATAAATAGGACCATTCCTAGCATAAACATGAGACCTTACCTAAAAAAAAAATAAAGCATAAAGGATTGAAAGCATGGCTCCTGTGGTACAGAACCTGCCTAGCAAGTTTGAGGCGGAGTTTAACCTTCAATACTAAAGGGGAAAAGAAGTAAAAGAGAAAGAAAACGTTTACATTTACCTCCAGCTTTCCCTTTAATAAAGAACTTTTTCATTCCTTATCAGTCCTTCACCACAATTTTGCTTTTGTTTCTTGAGTATATATTTTAGATATTGGTAACTTACTTCTTCCTAAACCCCAATGAGTTTTCTTCCCACAACTTTCAGAAAGTTGCTTTTAGGGATGTAAAGAACCATATTGCAGTCTACCTCCTCTAGGTTTGTGATTATTTGGTCTGATTTATTCCCAATCCCAATGCCCTGTTTCTCTGTGCCTTGAGCATCATCTGGATTCTTGTTTTGGTCACTGAGTACAGTCTGCAACATGTCTGCCCTCCTCTGACCACTTCTGGATATCAGATTGACATGGAGCCTTCTTTCCCAGGATCATCAGTAGATGAGCCCATGACAACATTGGTAGTGGTTTCTAAGATGCCTTTTCATAAGGCCTAGGACATTCTTGTTCCTGGGACAGCCAGGCCTGAAGTATTGGTTATATCAAAGTTGGATGGATTCTTGTTTTTCACAGGGGCTGCCATTGCAATGCAATGTGGTAATAAAACTAAAATAAAAGGAAATGAAACCCATGGTCTCTGCTTGCTATGTCATTAAGTCCTTATGAATCACACTGTGGCATCTGGTTTGTTCTTTGGAAGATGTGGTTAACATGGCTGATCTCTACCTTTTGCATGATTGGGGAGAACTTCTTCCAAGCAGGTGAAGGGAAATATTAAGCCTGATGAGGAGTTTGCTCAGTTATGAGTCACCATGGTTCAGAGCCAAGAGCCAGCTCACTAGGAAGCACCCACTGACTGGCCTTCCTCCTTTCAAAATTCATGATACACCGGGCGCTGGTGGCTCACGCTTATAATCTTAGCTACTCAGGAGGCTGAGATCTAAGGATCATGGTTCAAAGCCAACCCGGGCAGGAAAAGTCTATGAGACACTTATCTCCAATAAACTACCAGAAAACCAGAAGTAGCACTGTGGCTCAAGTGGTAGAGTGCTCACCTTGATCTGAATAGCTCAGGGAAAGCACCCTAAGCCCACAGTTCAAGCTCCACATTGGACCAAAAAAACCACCAAAAACCCAAAACCTCATGATGCCTTTTCAGGGAGGAAAGAAGCTACTTTGTGCTCTAAAGAAAGCGAGACATTTCAGCCCATTGGGGAACAAGTAGATGTTTACATGCCTCATGGTGCAAGAGGAATTGGGGAACATTAGAAATCTCTCTCATTTCTTAGAAAAGTTGAGAAAGAAGTAGCGATTTATCTAAAGTCATAATACTAGAAAGCTGGGTCTCACAGTATCCCAGATACCTGGGAAATATAAATAGGGCCATCCCTAACATAAACATGAGACCTTACTTAAAAAAAAGTAAAGCAAGGCTGGGAAGGTGGTTCAGTGGTAGAGTGCTTGCCTTACATGTATGAGGCCCTGGGTTCGATTCCTCAGCACAATATAAGCAGTAAAAGCCGGAAGTGGCGCTTTGGCTCAAGTGGTAGAGTGCTAGCCTTGAGCTGAAGAGCTGAGGGACAGTGCCCAGGCCCAGAGTTCAGGCCCCATGACCAAAAGAAAAAAACACATAAAGGATTGAAAGTAGTATTTGGGGATCAGTCAAAATACATACATGCTAGGCTAAATGTGGTGGCTCACACCTATAATTCCACTGGTAGAAATCTGTAGGATCATAGCTCAAAACCAGAAGGCCAAGGTTAACAAGACCTAATCTCAACAAATAAGACAGGATAGTTCATACTCCTAATTCCTACTACCCTGAAGGTCTAGATAGGAAGAACATAGTTTGATTCATCTTGACAGTCAAAAAGCAAGAACCTGCCAGGCGCCTGTGGATCATGCCTATAATCCTAGTTACTCAAGAGGCTGAGGTGTGAGGATTGTGCTTCAAAGCCAGCCTGGGCAGAAAGGTTCGTGATATTATTTCCAATTAACTAGCAAAGAAAAGCCAGAAGTGGAGTTGTGGCTCAAGTTAGAGTGCTCGCCTTGAACAGCATAGCTCAGGGATAGACCTTGATTTCAAGCCCCAGGACCAGCACCAAAAAAAGGGAAGAAACTATTTAAAAAAGAACTTAAAGCTGGGCGCCAGTGGCTCACGCCTATAATCCTAGCTACTCAGGAGGTTGAGATCTGAGGATCACTGTTCAAAGTCAGCCCGGGCAGGAAAGTCTGTGACACTCTATATCTCCAGTAAACCACTGGAAAACTGAAGTGGCCCTGTGGCTCAAGCAGTAGAGCACTGGCCTTGAGCTGAAGAGCACAGGGACAGCGCTCAAGCCCAGAGTTCAAGCCCAAACGACCAACAAAAACAAAACAAAACAAAAAACAAAAAAAACTTAAGCAAAAAGGGCTATATACTAGATTAACATCCTGAACTTTTTTTTCCAAGATCATTAGCACATATTCAAGCTGATGTTAATACTTACAGAACTCCCTGAAAGTATCCCTTGATTTAAATAAGGTAAGCAAAGTTTGTTGAAACTTGACTCTCTCTACTGTACTGGGGAGCTTCTGACCTATAGCTTGAGATAAAAAATGCCACCATCCCCCACACCCAAGAAAATGGATCCTGTTGAACCTACTGAACTATTCTCTGGCATAGGTCAGCCAAGGATACACTTAAAAGACAAGATCATTATTCTCAGGATTTGTTCCCCAGTGAAGACAATAGTATGCAGTCCTGTAAGGCTGGATGAGCCTAATTGTGTACTTTCTGTGCCCATGCAACTATTCTCTTAGAGGGTAGCTGCTCCTAGCTCCATACTGCTACAGCAGCAGAGGAGGGCTCTAGAAGATTCTTGGCTTTGGTCTCAACTCTCTAATGCCCTAGCATTTGGGGCTATCTTGTCACCCTAACAGAACCTTGGTGTGGATCTGGACTCCCATGGAAGGCTTTATCTTTTCTTTTTTCTTTTTTTTTTTGTGCTGGTCGTGGGGCTTGAACTCTGAGCCTAGGTGCTTTCCCTGAGGTTTTTTTTTTTTTTTGCTCAAGGTGAAGCACTTTTTACCACTTGAGCCACAGATGTATTTCTAGATTTTTTTTGGTAGTTCATTGGAGATAAAGAGTTTCACTGACTTTTCTGTGGCTCGCTTTGAACTGTGATCCTCAGATCTCAGCCTCCTGAGTAGGGCTAGGATTACAGGTGTGAGCTTGAAGGTTTTTTCCATTGGCAGTATGTAGGTTCCTATTCTCTCACTTCCCTTATCTGTCAACACATGTATTGGATCTTAGTTCCTACTCTTTACCTTAGGTACCCTAATTCTGAATCGGGATCTTTTTTGTCTTTCCTATGATATTAAATGCCCAGAATATAATATCTAAATTGGAGCTATCATCTCTACCTGATTTTCCCATCTAATCACAAATCCCAAGGACTCTCAATTAGTGGGGAATAAACAGACACTGATAAATGTTAGAGACAGGCATTTGATGTACCTGAGGGTCATCATCTTTTTCTGGAAATGGACCAAAGTGACTGATGATTCGATTTTTCATAGATGGTTTCAGTGAATGGAACCATGTTGATGCTTGCTTATAAACAGAGTTATGTAACTCTACAAGCTCAATATAATCTTCTCCTTGAACCTGAAAGAATCAAAGTGGAAGTGAAACATGTGCATCTTCTCTATCCCTCCAAGAGTTGTGGCACCTGACACTCTGGAACATCCTCTTGTCTTTCTCTGGGAAGGCTTACCTGTCCAGCTTTCTCAGCCAGGTGCTGGGCTGTGTATAAATATGACTAGAGATAGGAGGAAAGGAAGGAGGATGGCTCAGCTGAGAAGCATGGCTGAGAAGAAAAGAGACTCAAACTGCCCATACTGGAGGCATGTGATTAAAGCAGGTTATGTATTACATGCCTCTGCTGTGTTTATTTTCATATTGATTTTCCCCTTGCTGTCTGGAAGGACATAAATATGCCCCTGCCTCTTTGGGTTAACTATCTTCAAAATCAAATGCATTTGTTCTTTGATCAAGTATTCATTAATCTACAGAGTAAATATAAGTATAAACAAATGGGATTATTGTCTTCTCCATCTACCTATTAACTCAAAAAACAAAGGATTGGGACTTATCATCCTTCTGCTTCTGGAAATGATGGATGACTGCTTTCAAGGGCAGGAGTCAATGGTCAGATTGGATACATTTTTTAAAAAAGCATGTGTGAATCTACAATGATCTCAAAGGAAAAAAGTTAGAAAATATAAATAAATACATTAGCCAGGCGCTGGTAGCTCATGCCTGTAATCCTAGCTACTCAGGTGGCTGAGATCTGAGGATCGCAGTTCAAAGCCAGCCCGGACAGGAAAGTCTGTGAGACTCTTATCTCCAATAAACCGCCAGAAAACCAGAAGTGGTGCTGTGGCTCAAGTAGGTAGAGTGCTAGCCTTTAGCAAAAGAGCTCAGGGACAGAGCCCAGGCTCTTGAGTTCAACGCCCACAACTGACTAAAATAAATACATGGCACTGGGCACTGGTGGCTCCTGCCTGCAATCCTAGCTACTCAGAAGGCTGAGATCTGAGGATCACAGTTCAAAGTCAGCCCAAGCAAGAAAATCTGTGAGCCTCTTATCTCCAATTAACCACCAGAAAACCAGAAGTGGTGCTGTGGCTAAAGTGGTAGAGTGCTAGCCTTGAGCTGAAATGCTGAGGGACAGTGCCCAGGCCCAGAGTTCAAGTCCCACGACTGACAAATAAATAAATAAATAAATCGATAGGTAAATTATACATGTGTGTAGCTTTCACTCCAAATCTGTCCCTGGCAGAGATCTAAGTTAGGCTGACTGGGCCCCAGAGTTAGTTTGCAGTAGCATTTCTCATGCATGACAGCAACTCAGCAGCTAAGCAAGGAGCACAAGGATAGTGGGTACTCTCACTGCTGTTCTGCAGCTAGACAGCACTCCAGCTGCATTTCACATTTGCGGCACAATTTGGTGAGAAATCACAAGAGACCTCCCACCCCCTACCTCCTGAGAGTTCAGGGAAATCCTTTGCAATCATCTTTGCATGATAGTCTGGCTTTGGGATTGGCATTGACCACTCACTTTTTGATCTTCGATGTATTCAATGTCCGCTGTGTTATAGCCATCGCGCTGGCCTTGTTGCAGTACTTTGAAGCGCCTCTTGCCTATGCTGTCAACCACTGAGCGGCCATCGGCAAAGAATTGAACATGTCTGATCTCTAGGATACATCCATAATCTGCAAAGCTGTTTATTGAGAATGAAATCAAGAAAGTAGAGATGTGTTGAGTTCTATTTCCTGGCCTGGACCCTGCTATTTCTGCAACCTTATGTTGTGCTTCAAGGGACTTTTCCCTAATAGTCTACCCAACAGGCAGTATCTGACTGTAGCAGTACAGCTGCTACCATTTCTTAAGCACATATTATATGCCAGTGCTATGGTTTGTCCCCTTCAAAGCTCAGTTTGAAACTTAAGTGCCTTTGTAACACTATTTTTTTGGGGGGGGGTGGTCTGGTCATGGGGCCTGAACTCTGGGCCTGGGTGCTGTCCCTCAGCTCTTCAGCTCAAGGCTAGCACTCTACCACTTGAGCCACAGTGCCACTTCTGGCTTTTTTCTTTTTTGCTTATGTGGTGCTGAGGAATCGAACCCGGGCCTCATGCATGCAAGGCAAGCGCTCTACCACTGAGCCACCTTCCCAGCCCCTTTGTAACACTATTAAGAGGTGATTAGACCATGAGGGGTGTAATGAATGGAATAATTATGCTACATTATAAATGATAAGGTTAGTTTCCATCCTCCCTTTCTCCCCCCCCCCACCCTTTTTGTCATGTTATAATGCAGCAAGAAGACCATTGTCAAGAGTTGGGCATGGTAGCACACAACCTATAATCTCAACTACTCAGGAGGATAAGGCAAGAAGATCACAAGTTTGGGGCCAGCCTGGACTACTTATACTTAATAAGATCCGTTCCCAAAATCAAATAAAAATAAAATACAGGGTAGCATGTATGAAGCCTTGGGTTCAATCCCTAGTACAAGAAAAGGCCCTTGTTCAATATAGATACCTAAATCTTGAACTTCTTAGTCTCCAGAAACTTTCGATTACCACTTATAAATGACTCAGTCTATAGTATTTTGTTACAGTATACAAAATAAACTCAGTCAAGCCAGTGTTTGTACATTAGTTCATTAATCCTCCCAACAAAAATAAATGAGCTTTGTCTCTTACAGCTGAATATTTGTGATGAATTATCCTATTGATATATGTGATTTGATGCTGCTAAATGCTAAAGTTCATACTTCTGCACAGGTAACACTGGAAGACATTAGGTGGGTGCTGGTGGCTCATACCTATAATCCTAGGTATTTGAAGTTCAGATCTGAGGATCACAGTTCAAAGCCAGCCTAGGCAGGAAAGTCAATGAGACTCTTATCGCCAGTGAACCACCAGAAAACTAGAAGTGGCACTGTGGCTCAAAATGGTAGAGGACTAGCCTTGAGCACAAAAGCTCAGGGATAGCACCCAGGCCCTGAGTTCAAGCCCCATGATTGATAAAAAAAAAAGCAGACAACATTCTTTTCATTGTGTTCTCTATGACTGATAAGTCCTATAGAACAGTGTTACATTTGATCATGAAGATTATTCACTTATTCTATAAAATGGAAGACTATTAGAAATGTCTAAATTATCCCATTAACATAATGTACATCCTAAAAAAACATCATTGTACCACACACTTAATATACAAGGACACTGTATAGGAAAGTAACTTGCCCAAAATCTAATGTGTTCCATGGATGGAGCCAGAATATGAACCTAGGTAGTTTGAATCCATACTTTTAAGCAATATGTTTTCAAAACACTTATCATCTGTTCAATAAAAGATTGGTTCTGAGGCTTTTTATATTTTGGTGCTGGTACTGGGGCTAGAACTCAGGGCTTGGATGCTGTCCCTTAGTTTTTTTTCCTCTCTAGGCTAGCACTCTACCACTTGAGCCACAGCTCCACTTTCTATGTAGTTCTTTTAAATAGGCAACCACTCACATGGTAAACTAGGCATCAGAGGGCCACAAGCCCAACAATTGCCCTTGTTGGTGAGCTGGCTAAACCTCATGAGCTAGGCCTCTCCACCTATTGAAGCCCTCCTCCCCCAAAACAATTCCTCCCACAGTTCTTTACTTACCCATTAACAGGGTGGCTAAGACACATTCCAAACTGTCTCGTGCCTGTCTCCATACATCTACGAATCATCAGGCGATAACAAGGCTCAAAAACGTGCAGTGGACATGGAACAGTGGGATAAGCCATGGTGCACACAAAAATAGGCACATTCTTATTTAAGCTGTCAGGAAGAACAAATGAGATGGATATCAAAGCAATGGGGCAGGACATAGAAATGCTGGGCAAATATACTCATGTATTTCCCCTGGGAAGGCAAGGCAGCAATGTCAATGGTTGATAGAAAAGCACTGAAATAAAAGTGATGCTGTGGGCTGACTCTCATTATCTAGCACAGAGGTTAGCCTAATGTCTCAGAGACTAAAACTTCGTATTGTACACATTCTAATTTAGCTGGATAGTTCTCTGCTATTTTAACATGTGGGTGATAACTATAAATCTTTCCCTCCTTTCTTCTCTCCCTCCCTCCTTCCTTTTCTTCTTCCCTTCCTTTTCCATCTCTCCCTTTGTTTCCTTCTCTATTCAAAACAATCCTTCCAGGTGTACTGCAGGAAGTATGAAGAAGGGGATGTTGATATAAGTGCATCTAGCTTCCTAGAAGGGAAGTGGGTAATTCTCTGCAAGGTTCTTATGCATATGTCAAATTTGCAAAGCCTCTGGGAGAATGCTCATAGTAGGCTCCGCTAGGAGGAAGTACTAGCAAGAGACAATGAAGAGTAATTTAGCTCACTAATGCTCCAATTTTCCTTTATAGCACAGTAATTGGGGAGCCTTCACTCCAGATGCCTAGTTCACATCATCTAGGTTTGGGTCGCAAAGATTTGCCTTATAATAAATAGCCCTGAGGACTAGGATCTTTTTATTTTATTTTTTAAATTATTTTATTATATTATTTATTTTTTTAATTTTAATTTTTATTGTGAAAATACTGTACAGAGGGATTACAATTACATGGGCAAGATAATGAGCCTCCTCCTTTGTTTCCCCTTCCCATCCTCCCCCCACCCCACCCCCGCCCAATCCTCCTCCCCCACTCCCACCAAAGTTGTAAAGTTCGTTTTTTCACATAATGACTTGTACATCTCATTGTTGCAATGGGTCCACCTGTATCCCTATTTAAACGATTTGTTTTTTTTTTCCCCTCCACAAATTATACCAACCTCAAATACAGTGAAAGCAGGGGTTATACCATGGGGGAGGGACATACAAAGCAACAAAGAAATCATCTTATAAATGTGTTAGAAACAATCACCTGAAAGAAAAAAACATTTGAATACATATCTTAGGGTTCATTTCCCTAATATCAACTTATCTGACCTTTTCTGCTTAACTCAGGCATATACTAGTTATTGCAAATAAGGGAAACCATGGGACCTAAGTTTCTTTGGGCCTGGCTTATTTCACTTAATATAATTTGACTCGGATCTTTTTAAAGACAATCTTCTGGATACTTCAAGAGTTATCCTGATTAAGCTATTCCAATTTATTCCTGTCAGCACCAACCTGTTTGTAGTGCCAACACCAAACTGTTTCTAGTGCCAAGATACATCCTGCTCAGTGGTTTGGCTTATGTTTCTTCCCAAGGCAGTAATTGCTTAACAACTGATTTAGGGATTCTGTGGGGGGCCCTAGTTTGTAGCATTTGCTGATATGCATGGTGTAAATACTCTCACCATGGCCAATTTCAAACTATCAAGATGATATCACTAGACTATGAGCTGGGAAGAATTGGGCACATTCAATTACAATGAGTGAAACTGAGGATAGAAACAAGCATAGACATACCTAGAAAATTCCTCCATTTCTTCTTCATCAAGTCTTTTTCGTTCCTGAAGTTCTTCTGGTAGGAATCTTGCTATTAACTCCTCCATGACTATGTTTTTGCTATATTTTCTTGAAGCCAAACACTAAATGAGGACACAAGGCAATTAGATAAGATGCAGTCCTCAAAAAAATTACAAAGGACTTCTGATGCAGTCAAAACAGTCAAACGATCCACATATTGGCATAATTTCAACTAACAACTTCTCTACATCTTATAGTTTAAATTTGGTTTAAAAATATATGCAAATGATTATCTTTATAATTAGAAACATTTTAACAAGGAGGGAAAAAAAGCTTGCACAGACGTCTGAAAAAAAAATCCCATTACTTTTCTAAAACACTGACATTGAGATAGCTTTTTGTCCAAAATCAAAAGGGAAAACCTCCTTTCCTTTTTCTGATTTTTTTTGGGGGGTCCAGTCATGGGGCCTGAACTCTGTCCCTCAGCTCTTCAGCTCAAGGCTAGCATTCTACCACTTGAGCCACAGCACCACTTCCGGCTTTTTTCTTTTTGCTTATGTGGTGCTGAGGAATTGAACTCAGGGCCTCATGCATGCAAGGCAAGCACTCTACCACTGGGCCACCTTCCTAGCCCCTCCTTTTTCTGATTATTATGTTTACAGGCTCACAGAAATGGTCTTTATCTGGAATGTGTTGACAGTAGTCTAAGTTCAGGGAGCAAAAACTCCACATTCCTTCATCTTTTCCTACCCAACCCTGTTCTGTCCTACTCTTAATTGGCTTTTGGTTATTTCCTAGTCTGTGTATCTTGCTCTAGTTTATTAGAAACACACATACAACAGATAAACACTGGTAATTTTGTCTATTTGGTTTTTAACATGCTATCTAGGTATAACTGAAATAGTAAGATGTAATTCCAGCAGCAGATTTCAACTCAATAGTCACTATTACTCTCCTTCCATATCCCAGTGCCTTGGGCATATCTAAGGATCTACAAGTATAGCAGTGAGTATTTAATGATGTGAATCAAAGGATGTCAAAATTCATATGCAGAACATCTTATTGTGGGAACTACCCTTAAAAGTGCAGCAGGGAGGGAATGCCTTAGTATCAAACTGCTATCTACAGCCAATAACGTCTCTATTCTACAATAAGCCTGATAGGAATATTTAGCTCTGTGTAAAATAATGTAAGTGTGGCTCATGTGAATACATAAAGGTAAATAAAAATATCTTCTAGCTCCTGAGTCCCTGCCTTCTGGATGCTTTATTAGCCATAACCATTGCTGGGCCACAGAAGAACAAACTTCCTTGACAAGTACCCAGTCTTTGCAGGGAAAGCAAAGGGAGGGGGGAGGAGCCAATCTCAGGTAACAATGGTTACCTAAGTGTTAAGCATATGGGTAGACTTCTCTTCTTTCTAGTTATCTAAATGTTGTAGTGCTATTGAAACAGAGATATTATTATTTCAGTATGAAATCCATGGGGTTCTCATCTATAAATAGGTTCGCAAATCCCATCCCCTTATCTAAGAAAAAGTATGACTTTGACCCATCTCCAACCCCAATACACATCTCTCAAAGTGACTTTGAGTGATGACTTCATTCCATTTCCTTAGTCTAACTGCTGGAATTTAAATCTCAATATATAATTTTTCTGGACAGATGATCACCTAGAGATAGTCTTGTTTTTGTTTGAGACAAGGTCTTGCTATATAGCCCAAGATGGCCTCAATCTTGACATTCTCTTACCTCAGCCTCTGGGGTGCTGGGATTATCGGAATGCCCCCCACCACACTCACCACTAGAGTCTTGCATCTCTATCTAACCTCCTCTCAGAATTGACAGAGTCAAGGAATATTATTACTAGCTATCAACTGTAATCTACAATTCCCCAAAGAAGGGAAACTAAGGCAGATTTCTGGCCTTCTTTTGCTTCAGCAAATTCTATAAAGGCTCCCTTGAGAACTGAAGGTGGGGATTTATATGATCAATTGTAGACCATCTGAAAACCCTAGAACTTTGTAAGTAGCATGGCACCTAAAGGGGTTGAACATGACCACACTAAAGTTCTGTGAAGGTTTTTTAACTTGGGGCCCTGGAAACTGATCACTTCACAAAGCATAATCAATGTTTTGATAAGAGAACATCTAGTACAAAGTTAGTAAGGAAAAAAAGGTCACCCCAATTTGCGATGTACTAGATGTCGTGATGGGGTTAGAACCAGAATCTGCCTTTGTCACTCACTTAATACTTTTGGTTCCAATACAAATTAATTTCATCACTAATAGTTCCTAAAAAGCTAGATGCTGCTCATCTCTCCTAAAGGACTGAGAAGGGAGGGATGGCTAAAAGACAGGAACACTAAAGTCTGATAGAGTATTTCGGTTTTGCTCTGGCACACAGCAGTGACTTAGGATCCAATTTTAAATAATTCCAAAGAAGCTAACCCAAACAAGGGAAAAGTGGTTTACCTGTAAGAGGCCATCTTTGCACAGTGGACACTTTGCGTTATAGTCCAAGCAGCGTTCCAGACACTTTAAGCAAAAAGTATGTCCACAAGGTGTTGTGACAGGCTCATAAAATAATCTGAAATTTAGAAATCAAAATAAAACAAAATGGTAGTAAGGTCAAAAATAAAAACAGTACTCATGATTAAGGTTTTATAGGATTATTTGGGAAAAAAATTTTGTTGTGAGGAGGGTTCTTTCTGTTTTTAAGTCCTTCATAAAAGTCTTAATTTTCATTCTGAGCCAGACTTAAAGTAATGTCTCTGTTTAGGGCATGGCTATAGATACATATACACCATATTGCAATGGGAAAAGTTTGATTTGTTTGCTGATTTTGTTTCCTTTCTTTTTCACTTACACAAAATGTACTGCTCAATGGATCTTGAACTTGAAACTGCTTTATTTATGGCTGGGTAGTAGAAGAGTACTCTAAATGTACTTACAGACATGAATAGAGAGAAATATGAAGATATAGTCATCTATTCAACATATATGTATATATAAGTATATATACACATACTTGACTTCAAGTTGATCCTATTTTAGTTGCTTTTAAAAAGCATGATATTTTCAAAACAACCCAAGGACCCTTTATTAAAGTGTTCTGCATCTTCAGATTCATGGATTTATTTTGTGTAAAGAGAGACTCACGTAAACAGGACCCATGGTGGGAGTTCCTGATGACAATTAAGAAGTGGGTCTTGTACTCACCAGTGCATGAGCTCAGAAAGCAGGGAGAGTAGCCTGGTCAAACTATTTTAACCTCTCAAGTGTTCAATTGAGAGGAAGAGGCCACTAGCTGCATAGCTTCCCTCATATGGCTAGGAAGTGCACCAGCCACTTGTCAGAGTTGGCCCTGGAGCCAATGGCTCATGCCTGTAATCCTTGATACTCAGGGGGCTGAGATCTGGGATCACAGTTCAAAGCCAGCCCAGGCAGGAAAGTCTCTGAGACTCTTACCTCCAATGAACTACCAAAGGCCAGAAGTGGGGCTGTGGTTCAAGCTATAGAGCACTAGCCTTGAGCACAAAAGCTCACAGACAGTGTCTAGGCCCTGAGTTCAAGTCCCAGGACAGACAGACAGACAGACAGACACACACACACACACACACACACACACACACACACACACTCAGTTAACAACAATGTCAGTGTTGGAAAGCACTTGAAGAAATTGAATTCACCAAACTAGAATAAAATGGGGTCCAGAGGGATTAGAATTTCAGGAAGTGAAAGTCCCTCTCCAACTTTCACTTCTAGACATCTGCCATTTTTATTAGACAGTGATACGCAACCATTGCTGCATATAAGAATCACCTGGGGAGCGTTGCTTCGAAACAGCACCATTGATGTGTAATTTCCATAGAATAAACTGAACAGACGTAAAGGGAACATGTGCTAAGTTGTAATGTATGCAAACGCTTAGGAGACCATAATCACAATTTCAGACAATGAACATACCACACTCCTTTTGCAAAAGTTTCCTCCCACTCCTATCTGGAAGTCACCTGGGAGATTTGAAAAACTCCAATTGCCCAACACTGTACAGAGATCCAGATCTGCAGACTCAGTGGGCAGGCCAAGCATTTGAATTTTTAAAGCCTCAGTGTGGTTTTAATGTGCAACCAAGGTTGAGAATCACTGAACTACGTGATCCTATCATTCCTGCACCCACCAGCCTCCTAGAATTCTTCAAACATAGTTATCAAAGTCACCTGTGGAGTTTTAAATAAACATTCAGTGACACTTCACTGGCTTCAGGAACAGATTCAAGAGGCAAGGGTGTGGGGCAGGGACATTTATGGCAAGTCCATAGAGGTCTGGAATAGGAGAGACACCTTTCATGTATTCATCTGTTGTGTATTTTTTTAATTGTGAAATTTTGTTTACAAAATTAGTTCATTAGTCTAGTAGCATTTGTAAATTTTGGTTATTAAATGTGGCCAAAAAGTTAATTTTCAACAGAAACCTCTTTATGATGGAAGTCCTAAGACAAAAAAACTATGGAAATAAAACAAAAGTATGACAATTGGAAACAATAAAAATCAAATCTAGGTGGGCGCCAGTGGCTCACATCTGAAATCCTAACTACTCAGGAGGCTGAGATCTGAGGATCGCAATTCAAAGCCGGCCCAGGCAGATATGTCTGTGAGACTCTTATCTCCAGTAAAAGCACTCAAAAGTGATATTGTGGCTCAAGTGGTAGAATCTTAGCCCTGAGCACAAAGAGGCTAAGGGATAGTGCCCGGGCCCTGAGTTCAAGCCCCAGGACTAGCAAAAAATCAAATCTGTCCTAATTCCCTAATGAATAATAAATTTAGAGATCATAAAAAAATCCACAGACACCAAGCACTGGTGGCTCATGTCTGTAATCCTAGCTACTGAGGAGGCTGAGATCTGAGGATGTGGTTCAAAGCCAGCCATGGCAGGAAAGTCCGTAAAACGTATCTCCAATGAACCACCAGACAACTGGAAGTGGTGCTGTGGCTCCAGGTGGTACAGTGCTAGCATTGAGCATAAAAGCTCAAGGACAGAACCCAGGCCATGAGTTCAAGTCCCACAATCAACAAAAAATACGTGCTGAATGTTAAGGAATAAGATGCTTCATCCAGGTGCTGGCGGCTCATACCTGTAATCCTAGCCACTCAGGAAGCTGAAATCTGGTCAAAGCCAGCCTGGGCAGAAAACTCTGAGACTCTTCTCTCCAATTAACCAGGAGAAAAAGTAGAGCTGTTGCTCAGGTGGTAAAGCACCAGCCTTGAACAAAAAGGCTAAGGGAGAGTGTGCAGGCCCTGAGTTCAAGCCCCAGAACCAGCAACTATACAAAAAAAGAATAGGATTAATGCACAGAGTTGTCCTTCTATGTGGTAGCAATAAACATTGCTTTTTCTTCTTTTTTTTTTTTGGTCTGGTGGTGGGGCCTGAACTCTGGGCCTCCCGCAGTCCCTCAACTCTTCAGCTCAAGGCTAGCACTCTACCACTTGAGCCACAGCACCACTTCCAGCTTTTTTTCTTTTTGCTTATGTGGTGCTGAGGAATCAAACCCAGGGCCTCATGCATGCAAGGCAAGCGATCTACCACTGAGCCACCTTCCCAGCCCCTGCTTTTCTTTTAAAGATAACATTTACAACTGCTTTAAAACTTGTATGAGACTTCTATGGAAACAACTGCAATATATGTTCCTTGCTATATTTCTGGGTATGTGTAATACTGTATTATCCTACATATTATTAATATGTGGCAATTGTGACTAGCTCCATTATGCTAGTGAAGAAGTTAAAACTCAAAAACAGGTTAAATGACTGTTAGTTGGTAAGCAGAAAGCCTGGATGGGAAGTCAAACCTGACTCCCCAGCCAATCTTCCTTGTCTGCTGCATGACACAGATAAAACTATATGTACCTCTCTGTCTCACATAGATACCACCCACCTATGCTAGATACATATATAATCATATACTCAATTTCAAAGATTTTTTTTGGTTGTGAGGTTTGACTTCAGGGCCTGGGTGCTGTCCCTGAGCTTTTTTGCTCAAGGCTAGTGCTCTGCCACTGAAAGCCACAGCTCCACTTCCAGTTTTCTGGTGGTTAATTGGAGATAAGGGTCTCATGGACTTTCCTGCCTGACTGGCTTTGAACCATGATCCTCAGATCTCAGCCTCCTGAGTAGCTAGCCTTACAGGCCTGAGCACCAGCTCCCAGCTATGATTTTTACCTTTGTAGATAGGGACATATACTAGCCCCCTCCCCCACCTTTTTTTAACTTGAGTTTCAGAAAACAGTTTCAGAAAACACTTCAGACAGGCATTTGTGAATCCGGGCAGTAGTAGATTTTCTCACAAAAAAGTGTTTTCCATTGTCACAGAGATGGAATAAACAATGGTAATAATAATTGCCTCCAGTTAGATATCAAGCCAGATAAAATGTTTGCCTTATCTGGAAAGAATTATCTTTTCTTACCAGCTTACATCCTTGAATTGCATTCTGTTGCTCAGATGAGAGCAAAAGGGTGGGGGAGAAAGAAGAGAAGGAGCCTCAATATCTTAACACCCAGTTAATGTTAAAGAGTCCTTAATATATGGTGACTTGAGTAGCTAATACTAGATGAAAAAGCCTCTTTCGATTGACAATAGGGTCGCTGGGCTATTAGGTAAGTAATTCAAATATCAGACATATCACAAAATATCCTTATCACCCTACAGGTGCTATACTTCACAGCAGCCCCAGAGATGACCCTCAAGTGGTTGGAATACACAGGTAAGTCATAAACAGGGATTTTCAGCCACTAAAGACTTCACGACAAAGTTTTGAGATATTAAAGTCAGGGGCAACTTTCCTCAGTAGATGTCTCCCAGCTCAGCAAAGGAGACTGGGAAATTGGAAAAGTTCATCCCTCCAGTGCTGTTCCATTCACTCTTTATAGCAGTTCCCTGTGAAACTAGAATAGGTTTCACAAATTTGTGGTCTAATTTGTGTTTCTACCAATGCAAAACACAGGACTAGATTTCAGTCTAGAAACTTGCGTGATAGAAATGTGTGATTTCCTGGCCTAGAAGATTGAGATGATCTCTGCTCTTTGACCCTCTCCCTCAAAGACACGTGAAGGTTAAGAACAGAACCTAATAATAACAGCAATAACAGTTGTGCACTGGTGGCTCATGCCTGTAATCCTAGCTACTCAGGCAGCTAAGATCTGAGGATCACAGTTCAAAGCCAGCCCAGGCAGAAAAGTCCATGAGACACTTATCTCCAATTAACCAGGAGAAAACCAGAAGTTGCATTGTGGCTTGAAGTGATAGAATGCTAGCTTTGAGCAAAAAGAGCTCAGAGACAGCACCCAGGCCCTGAGTTCAAGCCCCATGACCAACAAAAAAATTAAATAAATAACAGCAATAACAAGAAGAAAAACCTTAGAGACAAAAAAAGAGACTTTCTCCAGACTGGAAAAAGTGAAGGTAATCTATGCATATGAAACATCTCTGTCAACACCTGAGGGCTGCAGTCCTAACATTCAGATGAAAAAAAAAATTTCCATTGATTGGCAGGGTTTTTATGACCAGAAAGCAGTGGGCTACTTGTAACTCAGCAACCTATACAACAGCTACCCCAGGCAAAGATGCATTTGGGGGTTGTAGTTTCACATAGAACAAATAGGGAGACAGGATAAAGGAACATTGTAAAGGCTTTTAAACTCAGTGCACAAACTAGAAGGGAGGGGTCTTATCCTCTCCCTGTTTATTTCTTGTACTAAATTTCTAATCCTTCTCCAAGGCCCCTGTTGAGATCAGGGACAAACAAGATGAAAGGGAGAATACAGAGGAAGAGGAACAAAAGAACTTCAACCTCCCCAAGATTCTTAGTCTAGAGAGAAAAATACAAACAGGAAGAATCTGTATGTTTGATTTTGTATGGCCTGGAGGTTGGCGGGAGTGTTAAGGAGGTTACATAAATACAACAAAGACATGTTCTCTCTGAGAAAGCTACGTTAAGCCTATTCCATGGGTCATATAAATCACGGAGGTTGGAGCCATAGTGGTGCTGGTGGTAGCTACAGGGGCCACTTCTCAGCTTGGAACCTGGTCGATCTGCTCCTCTGTTGTGATAGTGAGGGAAATAGTAAAAGGGAGCTGCTTATATAGAATGGCCCAGCCAGTACTAAGCCACTCCAACTGACAATATACACAAGGACTGCTGCATTACCAGGTCTGCCCACACAATCTGACCCCCATAGAATTTATATTATGGTTGTTATGTAATTCTGGGGTTGGATCCAGGGCATCACACATGCTAAGCAAATGCTCTACCACTGAGCTATACTCCGAGCCCCAAGTACAATTTTTCTAAGTTTTTCTAGTTTTCAGCTAGGCACTAGTGGTTCACACCTGTAATCCTAGGAAGCTGACATCTGAGGATCATTGTTTGAAACTAGCCCAGACAAGAAAGTCTATGAAACTCTTTTGGTTCTTTTTGTTAGTCATGGGGCTTGAACTCTGAGCCTGGACATTTCGCCTGCACTCCAGCTCAAGGTGAGCATTCTACCGCTTGAGGCACAGCACCACTTCTGGTTTTCTAGTGGTTTATTGGAGATAAGAATCTCATGGAGTTTCCTGCCCAGGATGGCTTTGAACTGTGATCCTCAGATCTTAGCCTCCTGAGTAGCTAGGATTACAGGCGTGAGCCACCGGTGCCCAGCTTCTGTGAAACTCTTATCTGCAATTAAACATTGAAAAAAAAGAGTGGCACTGTGGCTCTAAGTGGTAGAGTGCTAGCCTTGAGTGAAAAAACTCAGGGACAGCACACATGCCCTGAGTTCAAGCCCTAGGACCAGCACAAGAAAAAGAAAGTCCCTATTTCTGGAAATGGAGGACTTACTCTTATTTATACGTCAAGAAAGTCATTGAGAACACACAAAAAAGCATGCAGTTGATAAGAGAAGAATAGATGCGTACAAAGGGCAACTGAATACCTGAGGAGTCTCTGATGATTGGATACACTGTGATAGATCAAAAAATTCTTCTTGATAGCTCTTTTCTTGGACCAACCACCTTAAAAAATATCTGGGGAAAATATCTGTTTCCTTTTTTTCTGTGCTAATACTGGGGCTTTTTTTTTTCTGTGCTAGTAAAGGACCTTGGTGCTGTCCTTTAGCTTTTTTGCTCAAGGCTGATGCTCTATTGTTTGAGACACACCTCCATTTCCAGCTTTTTTTCTGGTTAATTGGAGATAAAGTCCTAGATTTGTTTGTCTGGACTGGCTTTGAATCACAATCTTCAGATCTCAGCATCCAGATTAGCTAGGATTAGTAGCGTCAGCCACCAGGGCCTGGTTTTAGCTTCCTTTTAATGATGTTTTGGAATGCAGCTACCTCTGAGAATCTACTGAAATTCAACTGTGGACCTTTGTCCTGGACACACACACACACACTCTTACAACTTCAGTGAATTCATAGTTCAATTTGAATTTATACATAGAACCTAGAACCTTCTCAGGGGGTTCATGGACCTAGTGTTAAGAATCTCAGGTCTTAGGAGTTAAAAACAATGTTTATTGAGTACCAGGTACTATTCTAGATATTAAACGGATTTTCTCAATTAATCCTAACAATCCCATGAGGTAAAGTCTACAAAACAGTGATAATGTCACTTGAACCAGGATTAACAGCCTGTGAGTAGAAAGAGACAGGTTTCAAATCTTGGCTCTGGAGTCCTCTCCACTTGGCCACTCAGTCACAGTTGTGAAATGAAAGAAATGAAGGTAATTAAAAAAAAATTGTATGTGGCTATACACACCATGATCACAGCATCTTTCTACTTTTTGTAGTGGGTAGGATGTGAATAATGTGCCTCTACAGGAATCTGAGCAAGTAGAGATGATATGGCACTAGTTGAAGGAGACATGCTTGACCAGAAGGACTCACATCTTCAACTAACTCCTGGTTCATGGCTCAGCATAAAACACAAGTAGTGCCAGGTACTAGTGGCTCACATATGTAATCCTAGCTACTCCAGAGATTGAAATCTGAGGATCATGGTTCAAAGCCAATCCAGGCAGGAAATTCCATGAGGTTCTTATCTCCAATTAGCTACAGAGAGAGAGAGAGAGAGAGAGAGAGAGAGAGAGAGGCCACCAGAAGTGGCACAGTGGCGCTGTGGCTCAAGGAGTAGAATGCTAGCCTTGAGCATAATAAAGCTCAGGGACAGCACCCAGGTCCTGAATTCAAGCCCCAGGACCGGCACAGACACAGACACAAAAAACACAAGTTAGTCAGGCCTTCTTCTTTGCTTCCAACAAATAGTCTTGTGGCATTGACAGAAAATGCTGAGCTTTGAGTTATTGATCCAGTAGTTAAAACTGGAACTAAATTTTCTAGGTCTAGGAAAATAACGTAAATAGAAGTCATGGGAAGGTTAAAAAATAAGGACTATAACCGACTAGAAAGTGTTATATCCTGTCTTCAAGATATTCAGTTAATAACAAACAAGCCCAATGAGGACCAAACAAAAAATGTATTCATCTCAAGGGCCATCAGTTTGGGATCTTGCCATGCTTTAGGTCTTTCTAAGTTAGAAGTCAAGAATATAGAATGTAGCTAGGTACCAGTGGCTCATAGCTACTTAGAAGACTGAGATCTGAGGATTGTGGTTCAAAGCCAGTCCGGGCAGGAACATCTGTGAGACTGTTATCTTCAATTAACCACCAGAAAACCAGAAGTGATGCTGTGGCTCAAGTGGTAGAGTGCTAGCCTTGAGCTGAAAAGCCCTGTCAGGGACAGCACCCAAGCCCAGAGGTTAAGTCCCACGACTGACCAAAACAAAACAAAACAAAACAGAATGTGGAATGTGGCCTCTGTGCTGTATATACAAGGTGGCTCTGTGAGATTGCTGTGATTTCCTTTTCACTAAAACCGCGCTTTTACATGCTAACCAACTGAGTGGGTATGTCACTAACAGGAAGGTCAAGATACCAGAGAGGAGAATATATCAGGTAGTAAATGATAACACATCACGTACCTCATACATAGGGCACATTCAAGATCAGATGCATCAAAAGTAAGTGGAATAGTAAAAGCAGGCTTGGACTCCTGATCAGTGGGAAGATCTGTGATTTAGAAAGCAAGAAGTCAGATCTGCACCAACTTTGATTTCAGAGATAGTGCTTCTGAGATTAAAATAAAATGTTTTTCAACTCATCACTCTTACCTCTCCCCACTACCCCACACACGAATCTAGTGACTGCCTAAGCCATCAGGAGTGAGATTCCGCACAGGAGGCTCTCAGAGATTTCCAAAAACCCTTAGTGAAAGAAGTGAAAGCCCAGGAACTATGGAGACTTCATTCAAATGTAACAGTCACCTCATTCAACAGCAGCAGCTCCACTGACTGAGCCAGGCCTTCAGATCTAGGACTGAATCTTACTTGGTATTTTCAACCTGTCTCAGAAACTTATGAAGCTTCAGCTGCTGCAATTTGAATGCGTTCGGACCAACTTCTCCCATCCTACATTCCTGGAACAGGGATGATGGCAGGGAAAAATTGGCCTAGAATGAAGTGACACCATCAAAGACTTCAGATGTCATTATTTGGTGCTGGGCTGCCTTGGTTTTCCTTGATAATCACCATTGAGATTTGCAGTGTCCTAGGCACTCATGCACCATCTGGCAGAAACCTTATAGCACCCCCTGAGGTCACAGCTGGTAAATGCCATAGCTAGGCCCTACAACCAGAGCCAGAGGCACTCCCATGTGGAGGGTAACTGGCATATATCAGTGAGTCCAGTCATCATCTCCAAGCCACTTTCTCTCCCTGGGTAGAATAAGTACCTTTCTTGAAGTCTTTATGAAGTATATCTGTGTCTTCTTCAGGTTCAACTTGACTATGTGTCCTTTTCTTTTGTTTGCAGTTGTCAGACTCAACACAGGCAATGGCCTGCGTCTCCTTCTTTTCCAGGTCTTTCACATGGTGTTGCTGACCATCCACTGTTACGTGAATGACATTCATCAGATTGTTGCTGTATGTTCTGGCTGTTGGTTCCCTCTGACCAGAGCAATGTGAAAGCTCTGAATTTTCCTGGAGGAAGAAAGAGCCAAATATTAGACGCTACTTAGGCAATATTATCCTCTGGTATTGTTACCCAGAGGGGATAAAGAGAATAACAGGTCACTCTTGACCACTTAGAGGACATATAACTCAAGTGTGGGGCAGTCGCTGGGATTGTTTCTCCATTCCAGTCCACACAGCATGTCCAGATCATGTGGAGTTAGGCAAGGACAATAGGTATGGAGGAAATGCTCCTGGGCAATGGGGAAGGAGGAACAGAAGGAAAACACCCCCTCTTCCTCCTATCTGTATCACTCTCCAGCAACCACTTTAAGGCAGTAAGGGAAAGATCCTGACACTCATTACTTCCTCTCACCCCCCACTGTCATTCCCAGCCATGTGCAATCCCCAAAACCCTGCTCTAAAAGGACTTTCAATAAGGCTTTGGCCCAGGTCTGTTCACAGGTTTGCCAAGCTACCTCAAAGCTATGTGCTATACTGATCAAGGGATAGTCTATTCCTTTTCTAATACTTTGAGCCTCAAAAAAGACACAAAATCTTTGGGCAAAACCATCAGTATGGTCTCTAGCTTTTTGTCCAGGAGAAAGATAATTTGAAAACAGATCTAGAAATAAATCCAATGACATGTTTATGTAGATTTATCTGGAGAATCTTTTGTAGACTCTAACGTCATAGTTCACAGGTCAAAAGGTTCATCATGTTTCACATGAAGGGGAGTTAGGGAAAATGATGAAGTAAAGAGAAACCCATGTGAGTTTTCTCAGTCTCTATCATGTCTGTATCCTAGTATTGTAGTAACACACCTTCCATGGGTCCAAGGCATTGTGCAGGCAAGAATATATACTGCCTTATAGAGCAGTTTGGGTGAAAACCTATGCCCCTTTTCCCAGCTGGCTCACATTTAGAAAGCCAGGAGTACTATTGTTTCTTCATCTCAGCTTCTGCTGCAAGTAAAAGTCCAGGCACTTGGGTTTAGTATTAGCATTCTCACGTGGAATAATGACCATTGGAGGCTCTCTGATTTCAGGAATATTCCACATTATGCTCTAAAAAAAAGCAGGCATGTTTTCATTTAATTCCTTCTTCAGAGCAGGGACACAAAATAATGAAATGCAAGTGCCAAGGTCTTATATATAAGCAAAGAATACTAGCATAAAGGAAGGAGAAGCTGGTTGCCAGAGATGCCCAAGGTATTCAGCACTGAACTCTTGTCGAGTCTGGACTTCTGAGCCCAGTTTCTTTCCCTTAACCTCTATTAGGAAGGCTAGCAATTGTAGCCCAGGCTCTATATTCTGTTCTCTTATTCTCAAAGAGAGATAGACATAACTATTTGTCTTCCAAGAACTTCAACTTAACCCTCTCTCTAAACTTTCTTCTTCTCTGCTACAAATATTGTGTATATATATATATATATATATATATACATATATACACATATACACTACATATGTTATGTGTACATATATATACACACACATATATACACATATGGGAAGCCTACTTATATGTAGGTATAGTGCAGGGATTTAAAATTATGTTCACTTGGAGATCAAATGGAGTTGCCTTTACACAAGGACCTCAGCTGATGCTCAAAGACCAGTAGTTTAAACAAACAAAACTCAGGAAAGTAAGGGCAGTAAGGTTATTTCCCAGACTCCGCCCCAAAGCAAAACAAAAAAGTCCACCCCAATTATATGGCTCCCGGGGAAGTGGGTCAATTCCTTGTCATTGTACCAAATCTTTCTCTTGGCTGGATCTGACCAAAACTTAAAAAGAAATATAATAAACAAACTTTGGGGCTAGGCCTGAAATTTACAGTTGTATCTTTAAGAAGTAACCTTCTTATATATGTCTTTTTTTTCTTTCTTAGAAGCCATAGTAGGAAAATTAGGGCTTACTCTCTCCGTTTACCCACAAAACAGCAAAACAAAGCTTCACGAGTGAACCAGGTGAGTTGAGTTTTACCTGTGACAACTTTGGTAGATTATGACTGGTGCCTTCAGTAGACATTGTTCCTACGTGTTCCTTTAATCTAGGGTGAGGTGCCAACAGCTTCAGGATATCGGGAGAATCCCCCGGGACTGATGGTGAAAAGAAACTAAGGAGAAGCTGTGACATAAAACAGAAGACTTCACTACTTAAGTTTCTACAGGTACTCAGGTAGGGTGGGGGGGAAGGGATCAGGGAGGGAGACAGACCTTGCAGGGCAAAACTCCAAGGAGGAAGCCTTGGACTAGTATCCCTGGACACACCAGGGAAAGGACTCTTGCTTCAGCAAACATCAGAATCACTCCTTATGAAAAAAAGCCAAATTTCTTATCCCCATTCCTATCTCCCCAGGTCTGAAGTGCAGCCCAAGAATCTGGATTTTGAGAAGGCACTACAGATGCCTGTTACCAAGACAATATTAAGAGTCACCACTTCAGTTCTACTATTCCACAGGAACATCCACACATTGGAATGAAAGAGTGGTGAAGTCAGGAGCAAAATTCCAGTTGAGGAACATGGAGTCATGTCTACAAGACCTGAGGGGACAAAAAGCTATAAATGTCTCCTAGGTTTATCACTGTTTCTTTTCTTGGCTTATACATTTTGCTTTCTCCTCTTACCACTATCACCCTTGTATCTTTAATTCCTTCAGATCCAGGGACCTGAACCATGAAGTATTAGGAAATCCCAACTTAAACTTCCTCCCTCTTCTTCTGTAGCCTCTCTCTTATTTGAGCCTTCTCTTTCCAGAAAATGTTAGGTTAGGTTCAAGTACCCCAGGCAGGCAGATTCTAGTCTATTGCTGGTTCTGCTTGCAACTGGAGAGGCTGGAAGAATAGAGAGAAGAAGCAGAACATATTTGTAATCAAAGTTGTTCATTCAAATGCAGGCTGCACTACTAGCTGTCCATACTCTTGCTCCAATTCTTCCAGGTACCAGGGATTATAAGAGAGAGAGAGAGAGAGAGTGACAGAGAGAGAGGGAGAGGGAAAGGGAGAGAGGGAGGGAAGGATGGGGAGAGAGAGACAGAGAGAGAGATGTAACTCAAGAAGAGCAGGTCATGGGGCTTCTGAAATATCAAGTGTCTGCAATTAGCAGTATGTGCAGACTTGGAAGATCTATTAGAGGATCTCCCATACCCTTGTTCAGACCTCACAGTCAGGGTATTAACTGATCAAGGCAATCTGACAGAACACCAAGCTCCCACCAGTTTCTTCATACTGTTCCTTCATAAGTGCACTTACCATCAAATCACACCCTGCTAGGCTACCAAAGCTCAGCTCAAGTGTTTCTTTCCTTTACTAATCCCATCTCTCTGATCTCACCTGCCCTTTCATGTTTTCTACAGATGATGACACAGTGTCTCCAACAAAGCCATCCTAAGTGGTCTTGGAATTGTGTCACAGCAATAAGTTCTTCCAGCCAGATGGCCAGCTCTGGAGAGCACAGAACAGATGCCTAATAAATACTCAGCACATTGGATAGAATTGAATACTTATCCATCCCAGGCCCAAAGAAAAGCCCAGCTTTCTGCTCAAAGTCCTCAGAGGATCTCATTGTTTCCTTCCAGCTCTGGAAAACCCATTCCCCAGGTGTAAGTTTGCAGAGGAATGAACTGGGGAGACATAATGCCCGAGAACCTAAATGCCAACTTTCAGAAGCCCTTCCTCTCCAGGAGCCAAAATTGGCCTTCAGAAGTCCTACAGTGAAGCCCAACAGAAGCAACACACTTGGTAAGCAGTCTCCCTGGAATCCTCCACAAAAGAGAATGAACCTTCCAGGGTACCAGGATGAATGGGCAGAGGATGGCAGGAGGGAAAAGGACAGTGAGAAGGACATATCAAAGGAAACAAGATGGAAATAATAGTGTCAGTACCCTCCTTTTCTTCACTACCTAAGATCTTTTTCACTCTAGGCCTTCTCAATGGATTTGGAAGACAAAAGTTTGAGTCAACTCTCAGTAAGCAAAATCATTCCACATGAATGAAAGTCAATTTCAAGGCAGCTTTATCCTTAGAGAGGCACAACTGGGTCAAGAAGGGAAGAACAAAAAAGAATCTGAGGTTAAAAAAAAAAAAAACACCGGAAAGAAACACAGGGCTGCGAGTTCCAAGGCAGCTTATTAATGCTAAGTGAATCTGGACCATTTTTGTCAAATCTTTAGCCCTAAAATTGAAGCAATCCAGTGAGTAAGTAAAGCTAAGGTCTCTCTGTGATCTCTCTGTGGTCTGCTCTGGTCTCACGGCACTCAGAAATTTGCTTCTAAAATCTCACACTAGCTTTAGAACTCTTTAACATTCATCACTGGTGTACATTCACATGTATTGTCTGGCATTACCATTAACAAATATAAGATTACAAGTTCCTTGAAGACTTTATATGCCTCTGTGGGTCTATAGAACTTCAGAAAATGCCTTGCCTTTCATCCCAACAGACAAGGGTGAAAATAACAACAGCCCATCTATAAAAGCAAACTGGAGAGAAATGTCCATCCAGCTGATGATAACCAGAATCTCCCAGGCTAGAGAATGGACAAAGAGGTTTTAAAAAAGAAGAAAATCACATTCCTCTTGTGTTCAAGACCTGCCTCTTAGAGCATTTGTATACCAGTCCCCAAGGCTCTCTTAACTGTCCCTCCAGAATTGGGTAATTCCATTGCTAGTTCTCAGTCCTCTCAGTAAATATTCAAATTCAGGACACATCCTTCTGGGACAGCAGGATATTAGAATAAAGAAGGGGTAGACATTGGAAGCAGACCAAATTGAGTTTGAAAGTCTTCCCACCTACCAAGAGATGTATGATCAAGCTCTAGAAAGTCACCAAGCATTGGCCTCCTGCAACATGGAGATAAATCACAGCACCTACCCTCATAGTGAAGTTGTGGAGATTAAATTATATCTTCCACATAAAGCACCTAGCACAGTGTCTGGTGTATAGGAAAGGCTCAGGAAATTTAAGATGTGAGGAGAGGTCCCTAGTTGGAACAATTTTCCCTGATCCATACATGTTTTCCTCCCCCCCGCCAAAAAAAAAAACCAAACAAACAAAAAACCAACTCTATCCAAACACCCAAACCAGGTCAAAGCAACTTCTCTAACAGGAAATTCTCTGTTGGAGGCAGAAAATCCACAGGCCAGCTTTCACCAAGTTTATCAATTTTGCTAAAGACTCCTTTCTAGAGCCTTTAGAAACCAGTCTTGTTTCTTATTCATATTCTTCTTCAATTGTCCTGCCAAAAAATATAGGAACAGAAGGCCTTGTGGCCTGGTCATGAGTAGAAGGTGGGACATAAGAGAGCAAAGATAACTATTAGCATCCAACTTTTAGGTTAATTATCCAGACACCAGGAGAGTTAATTGTAAAACAAGAAACAGTAAAATCCATCATGTTGTTAGTATATCATGCGTTTTTTGGTAATACTACATTTTTCTGGGACCCAAATGTTGGAAGAACTATTTGGATTATATTCTAATGGTTCTACTTTGCATTTGTGACACAACATGTTTAAGTGTCAGCAAAGGAAATGAAATTGGAGTGGGAATCCTATGTGAGACGGGGACCATCACCATCACCATCCCTTCCCAGGAGCTGGCCATTCCATATGACTGGTGAAACTGTAATTCAGACAAAGAAAAGTTATACAACTGCCAGTAACCCTATATTCCAGATTTTTCATTAACAATCAGAATTTCCTCAGCAAGTCTCTACCCTCAGGTTAGCTCACTTGGTGAGTGTCTGGGTTTGTTTTCTGTGCGGATTCTGGGGCTTGAACTCAGGACCTGGGTATTGTCTCTGAGCTTTTGTGTTCAAGGCTAGTGCCATACCACTTTGAGCCATAGTGCCATTTCCAGTATTTGGTTTTATATCCCATTAATAATTCAGACCCTGAGTCAAAGCTTTCCTCACAGACTCCTACAAAATTCAGAAAAGCTGATCAATTTGAATGTACACAGTAGGAAGGTAGTGTTTCTGGGTGGTGAGCTGACACTCTGTCTCTCTTCTGTCCCCTAAATCCAGGGGACCACCCACTCAGGATTCCAAATGCCAGCAAGGCTAGTAGCTTCATCTCCCTCCCTAGAAAAGAAAGGTCAGTGGGATACAGTAGACAAATGGACCTGGTGTCATCCCAATTTACCTTTTGAGCTTCATATCTCGCCTTTGTGTTCCTTCCATCGAGGGACACGCAGTATAGGAATTCCCGTAGTGCCTCCTCCACCTTGCCTAGGTTAACTAAGGCTTGTGCCTTTCTAAAATGTGCCTGCAAGAAAACATTCGCATTAGCTAGGTGCCAGTGGCTCATGTCACGCCAGCAATTCTAGCTACTCAGGAGGCTGAGATCTGAGGATCAAGGTTCAAAGCTAGCCCAGGCAGGAAAGTCTGTGAGACTCTTATCTCCAATTACCCACCAGAAAACCAGAAGTGGCACTGTGGCTCAAAGTGTTAGAGTGCTAGCCTTGAGCAATAAAGTTTAGGGACAGCATTCAGGTGCTGAGTTTAAGCCCCATAACAAAAGGGAGGGAGGGAAGGAAGAAGGTAGGGAGGGAGGGAGGAAAACATTTGCATCCAGTCTCATCTTATTCACATTCTTAATGCTACTATTCTTACTAACCATCTCTGAGTACTTCCAGAGCAGTCACTATTGTGTGAAGCATTTTCAAAGAACTCTTTATCTGCATCTTTATCACATAAGCAACTATTTTTAATCCTATCAGAAAGAGGGCAAAACAGACTCAGAAAAGTAACTTGGCTACATTAACACAGCTGATAAAACACAGAAGCAGGATTTGAACCTGGAACTGTCCCAAAGCCCATATTCTTCACCAGTTTATTGCACTACCTTTGCTCTGTCCGACCATTAAATGAGGTATCGTGAGCATAGCCAAAAGCCCCACTGGACCCTACATTAGCCCAGCTTTCACAGCCTATTCAGTCAGGTAGACCTTCCTTTGAACTGATATGTAAACAGACAGCTGGTCAACAGGAGTGGCTTGAGTAAGCACTTAGACTTGTGCATCATTTTCCAAAGAAGGCCCAAGAGAAGGAGCATAACCCCCTCCCCAGGACCTCAAACATCACTAATGACAAACTTGGGACTGCAACTGTGACATAAGGACTCTGAGAACACTCTTCACCACAAAGCAGTCTATTGTTCAGAGGGATAACTCGTGGTTGAACCAAGATTTTTGCTTCTGGGAACTCAGCTCATTTCTGCTCCTTCCCCATACCAAAAAAAAAAAATTGAGAAGTTTTAGGGTTCCTGGGGTTCAAGTCCAAATGTGCTGGGTGAGACTATAAAGAAAGCAGAACACATAGAAGAAAAAGAAAGAAGAAAATGGGAGAGGGTTGCCTTCTCTTTGTGTCTCTAGAGAGTGAATGGAATGATCAGATTCTCACATGCTTATGCATGGCTAGAGGGGCTGGCCAGGAGCTGCCTTCTTGAGCTGAGCCTTGGGCCTGGTGCAAACCTCTGATCAACTTCTGCCCATGTTCCCATCTCCTTCTGGAGCCCAATTCTAGCTGATGTCCTAGTTGCTTCTCCCAACAATATGAACTAGGGCCAGAAGGAGCAAGGCTTATGTGACATTGCATGGAAGCTAGAGGGGCTTCCCGAGTCTCAGGAAGCAATTCATATACTGCACCTGCTCAGGGTAGTCCCCTTCCCCTTTCCCCCACTAACAACTGTAAAGTCTTCAAGTCGTGATGACCACTGGATGCTCACTGGATGGCCGGTTTAAGGCTGCCAGAGTAAGCGTTTCCTCTAGAGCAATTCCCATAGAAATGGTGGGAAATGCACAAATGGGAATGTGAAGTGGTTTGGAAATGGATTTATCAGCTTTTCTTTCTATGTCCCAAAAAATCCTGCATTGCCCTCCCCTTTCCTCCCAACCACCAGGAAATGTAATTCCTGCTTCATACTGTCAGCAACTCTTCCTTCACTTTTTCCATTTCATCAAAAATGCTAACTGTCTTGTATGATATCACTGCTTTCAGCCCTAGGCCCTAGGCTCATGACAGGAAAATTTTTAAAGTTATAAGGGAGGTTCTCTTACCTCCAGGCAATTTCCTGACTTGAGCCACAAAGATGCCAGAACTGCCTCCACTAAAGTTCCTTTTACTTAAGACAATGGTGGTTTGTATTAGGCTGTAAATATGTTCCTTAGGCAAAAGAACATACTGACCCAGAGTCATCCATGAAAACTTTCTTGTGAAAGAGCCTAGGAATTTCACCCTCACATGAACGGTAGAGTAGGAAGATCCACAATGCTTTATCTGAAGTTCCTAGATCCAAAAGGAAATCTAATAGCCCAATATTTTCATAAGCTTGACATTATATAACTCATTTAGGTGGCAACACCTTACCTAAGGTGATGAAAAGTTTTGGAAAGTATTTGTGAGATTTACTGTGAGTTTTCATGTAACTCACTGCAGAGGTACTGTGTATAATGACTGTGATTGGGACAATGATTGGGTAATACAAATGATTAGGACACTGTCCTGAGTTTACTAAGGATACTTCTGACTAGAAAGTATGGTCTTCCTTCAATTAGAAAAACTATATTCTGAACATGTTTGTCTCATGAAATTCAGATAAGACATCATGATCCTATGATACTGTCCTTGGATAAGTTAACCCAGGAAGCTTTCTAGCTTGTGGAATGTTCTCTTGGTTATGCTCATTTTTGACCCTTAAACATTCCTATAAGGCAATCAGTATTGCTAGGAATAACATCATTTTATATACATGATGGCACTTGGGAATCAGAGAGAAAAGCCACCTCTCTCTCTCTCTGTGTCAATTCTAGGGCTTGAACTGAGGGCCTGGGCACTATCCTTGAGCTTCTTTTTGCTCAAGGGTAGTACTCTACCACTTGAGCCATAGCACCACCTCCAGCTTTTTCTGTTTATGTGGTACTGAGGAATCAAACCTAGGGCTTCATGCATGCTAGGTAAGCACTCTACCACTAAGTCACATTCCTAGCCCCAAGAAGCCACTTCCCCAGGGCACTTTGCTTGCAAGTAGCACAGCCTAGGCTTAAATAGAATCTTCTGAATAAAATATTTACACATGGTTGAACTAAGTACTTGGGCCAGACAGAGATGCAGAAAATGATACTTGCTATCCAAGTGCCATGATGCCTGCCTGTTTTCAGGGTCTCAAACTTCTTCCTTTGCTTGTTTGTTGAGTACTCTGCCACTTGAGCTAACTGTCTGGCCTGACTTTTTGCTGGTTATTATTAGAAATGGAGTCTTGGGGCTTTTCTGCTTGGGCTGGAGTTGACCCTGATCCTTTGGATCTTTGCTTCCTGAGTAGTTAGGATTACAGGTGTGAGCCACAGGCACGTTGCTAAATGCATACTTTAAGATAATGTTTTTGGGTTTTTTTTTCAGGGCTGGGAAGGTGGCTCAGCAGTAGAGTGCTTGCCTTATAGGCTGATTCCTCAGCACCACATAAACAGAAAAGGCCGGAAGTGACGCTGTGGCTCAAGTGGTAGAGTGCTAGCCTTGAGTTGAAGAGCTCAGGGACAGCGCCCAGGCCCAGAGTTCAAGCCCCACAACCAACCAACCAAAAAAAAAAACAAAAAACCAACAACATAAAATAATGTGTTTTTTTTTTGGTGGCTCTTTGGTTTGAACCTTAGGCTTGCTTAGCAGGTGCTTTACCACTTGAGCAGTTCCATCAACCTCCTTGCTTGTGTTTCTCCCCAGTTATCCTGTGTGACTAAATTTTAGAAGATACAGGCAACTTGCCTTTCCATATTAAGGAAGCAAACAAAATGCACTGCCATTGTGTGAGAGTTAATATCTTTTCTCAAGAAAAGCTGGATAAAGCTGGGTGCCAGTGGCTCATGTCTATAATCTTAACTACTCAGTAGGCTGAGATCTGAGGACTGATGTTCAAAGCCAGTCCAGACAGGGAAGTCCATGAGACTTTTATTTCCAATTAACCATCAAAACTAAAAGCTGGAAGTGGAGCTGTGGCTTAAATGATAGAGTACTAATCTTGAACACAAAATCTCAGGGACAGGACCCAGACTCTGAGTTCAAGTCCCAGGACTGGCATGAAGAAAGAAAAGAACAGAAAAAAAAGAAAAGAGACAAAGAGAAGAGAAGGAAGGGACAGAGGGAGTGAGGGAGGGAAGGAGAGGAGTGACTACATTCCAGGTATTGTGCTAAGCCTGTTCTCTATTCAAATTCAGATAATCCCCACAACAGCCCCATTTAGTAGGTGCTTTGAACATCTTCATTTTACAGATTAGGAGTGAAGAAAAAGAGAAGTTAAACAATTTTGCTCAAGGCCACACAACTGGTAAAAGTAGCACAGCTGGAACATAAACTCTGGCCTTCTGACTCTCCCAAACCTGGATTATGAACAAAGTCCAGGTTGCTCTGAAAGTCCCCAACTAAATACAGAACTAGAGAAGAATCCAATTCCCTTGCACACTTGAATCAGTTCTTGCCATGGGCACACCCTCCATCCTCTGGCTCCTTTTGAAAGCCCTTTCCTTGCTCTAGCATCACTAACCCCAGGGATAGTGCTCTTCCTGCCAATCACTGCCTCCCTCTCCTTCCTGTCCAATCATCCTGCCTGCCCCCCACTCACCTTCAAACCCTTTGGGCGGAGTTTACAAGCTATTTCTGCATCATGAAGAGCGTCTTCATGTGATTTCAATGTAAAGTTGATCTGAGACCGGTTGCTGTAAAGCAACGCATCATTTGGATCTGTGAGAAAACACAAAAGCCCTCATTAATGGCCCCAAGCATGTGATAAATCCTATATGAGGATGAATCTTGAGCAAAGACAAGTCGTCTACAATTTCTTAACTGAGGATCCAAGGGACTAAGCTCCATTCCTAGTCCTAATAGCATCCCGCCTTCCATACCCAGCTGCTCTAAGTCAGAGCTTCCCTAACTGCAAAGAAGCACATTTGTTTCTCTCTGGCAAGTAGTCCTTTAGAGGCCTTGTACTATCCAAGTTGCATTAGAGACTTTGACCTAAAGGAAATCCTAGTAGCTTAGCTCCTGAGTAAGGTATCACCAACAAACAACAGGCCAAAGAGGAAATGAGAGAAGATGGACAGATGTGAGCCCTATGTTGGTGTGGAGCAAGACAAGTCCATGTTAGTCGTCTAGGTAGGATGAATGGTGACATTGGGAACATCTTTTCTGACAAAACCCGGTACACCCAAAGCTGTCTTGAAGGAAAGGAAAGTATAAGATTCATAAATACCATGTTCCAGCCAGGCAATGGTGGCTCACACCTGTAATCCTAGTTATTCAGGAGGCTGAGATCTGGGGATCTAGTTCAAAGCTGGCCTGGGCAGGAAAGTCTGTGAGACTCATCTCCATTAAACTACCAAAAAAAGGCTGAAAGTAGAATGTGACTCAAGCATTGAGCAAAAAGAAGTTCAGGGACAGCACCCAGGCCCTAAGTTCAAGCCACAGAACTGGCATGTAAACATACCCACAACCCCACACCCCCACAAAATACCATGTTCCCATTCTTTTAAGTCATTGATTGTAGGAACAACACGAAGCTGACTCTCATCAACCATCTGAATCACTGGATATCATGGCTAGACAGGCCTTTAGAGGTAAACCAGCACAGCTGACCCATTCTCCAGTCTGGAAAAGTCAAGGCCAGAGCAAGGAAAACATCTGCTTAAGGTTACACATCTGATCAGTCATTGCTAACTAGTTACAGGTTAAAACTTAGGTGGGGAACAAAGTTCCCTTTTCTGAGGGTGGTTAGGTATTAGAATTAATAAAACACTGATCAAAAAGAAGGAAGAAAGAAAACACTGACCATCTTCCAGGCCAAAGAAACTATGTTGAGGAGGCCCCCTTTCCTCCAAAAAGGGAGACACTGGTCTTGACATTTCTTGAATGCTCTGAGACTAATTAAAATACAGGAGGACTCCTCCCCCCAAAGGGCAAGTGGGAGCAGCAACAGTAAAAGAGGACCAGAGGACATTCCCAGCTGAAAGGAATGGCTGAAAGAAATGGTGTCACTTTTTAGAGATCTGTAATTAAATGGCCTGAACCTATTTCACTACCTCATTCTTATCCCTCAGCATTGGGCTCCAGCTCCTGTTGCCTAAAATAAGCTTTGATGACCCCTCCTCAACTCCTTCACCCCCACCCCACAGGAATGTGCTGAGCACTTCCATGAATGCCCATTACTTGCTTTTAAGACTTTTGCAACCAGTTGACAGTGTTTTGTATCCTTTATCTTCTACAACACAGACCAGTCCTGTGGCAACTACTACAGTCTACTTTGCCTGGGCACAGACAGGGTATGTGTAGGACACGGTGGGGGCTCCCTTCCCTCAATGGTCAGCCTTGTCCTGTCAGTGTGCTAGTCCTACAAGACCTGTTGAAGGTTGAAGTGGAGATTGGACGAGTAGAACCTGTAACACATCCCCCTTTCTCCACCAGGCAGAGCTGTGTCCTGGGCACCTTCAGATCTCCAAGTCCTGTCTGGCAGTCACCTCCTTCCTGGCAGACTTCCGTAGCCACCTTGCCCTCCTGTCTGCCGACCTGCAGAACTACTGATAATTTTCCAAAGCCTGGGAATGCCCACCTGCTGCTTGCGGCCACTTCCTGAGGCTAGATGTGCAGATGTGGGATAAAGGCAGAGCAAACAGGTCCCCCGAGAAAACTGTGAAGGGGGAAGATCTCAGCCTAGTCAGATGTGGGTCTGTCCCCACTGTCTTTGAAGCTGCAAAGGCTACAAGGAAGTGGGGGACAGAAGTGTGTTCCTTATGTGCCCAGTTCCTGATTCCTTGGGAATCTTTGGTCCGGTCGTCTGCTAGGCTCGCGGGGTTAAAGAGTAGGAGAGGAGGGCATTGGTTGCTGGCTGGCAGCGGCAGCGGCGGCGGCAGGGTAGCATCTATTTCAGCCAAGGATCGTGTGATAGGAAGCGGTGACAATGAGTCACAGGGCAGCGGGCTCGAGGGCTCCCCCCCCCACACCCACCCCGCACCGGCTCGCGGGACGAGCTTGGCCCACTTCAGTTACCTCAGCCGTTACACAATCTCGCCTGCCGGCCCGCCCGCGTGGAGGAGGGGCCGCCCGGCCCGGGCCGGGCCGCTCTTGGCCCTTATGCAACCAGTGCTCTCCTGACCTAATTCCGAGCCGGACCCACCCCAGTGGGAGCCAAGGCCCGGAAGGGACAACTCCCAGAGGCGGGAGCAGCAGAGGAAGGCGCCAAGAGGACATCTCCAGCTGGCAGGAGCCCGGGAGCACCCGGCATGCAAATGCTAGAAAGGTGCGAAGTTCTTGTTCCTGCAGGAAACGCGCCAGCAGGTGTATGAGGGAGCCCTGAGCATGGTGGTGGCGGTGGTGGTAGTGGTGG